TAGAATCCTGTGTGGCATCACCTTGTTGGGGCCGCACTCTGTCATCGAACGGCAGTGTTGTCAGAGATCATGATTACTTGGGGAGCGATTTCTGCACCGTTTGCCCCTCTTTTTGCGCGCAAATGCAGCCATACTCACGTTCAGAGGTCCCAAAGTGGTGTGGAGGGGGCGAGAGCTATCCAGGAGGGCTGTGGGGCGAGCGCTTGTCACAAAATGCAGCTCTGTCTTGTCCCAGGGGTCGCGTTTAATATACGAGACCCTAGGGTCGCGTTTTATATACGGGACCCCAGGGTCGCGTTTAATGTACGAGACCCTAGGGTCGCGTTTTATATACGGGACCCTAGGGTCTCGTATACCGGCTCCCGGTCCTCCGTTACCGATTTTCCTCTTTCCACCCATTCCACGGAACCCCGATATTGTTTCTCGTAATTGTTTTTCAGAAAACGGGGAGAGGCGTTCGATTGAGCGCTTAGCTTGGCAATCCGATGATCCAACCACGAGATGCAGCGGGACAGCCGTCTTTTCTCTATTCCAATTGTGAACCGAACCAGGGAAGTGGCCCGAAGACAGATATCGTTCACGTTTGGTCTTGTCGTGCAGCTACAGTAGCCATGATAGCATATCCGCATGTGGTTTCGCGGTGGGGAATGCCCACAAAACGGCGTGAATAGACTAGACTACATATAGACTAGACTACATCTGGAATGTTGCAAGTACATGGAGGTCAACCTCACATTCGCAACCCATGGACAAGGCTTCTCCAACGCGTCTCTCAACGAACAGAACCCGAAATCAGCTCAATTGGCTCGACTGCACCCGTAGTCTAGACTATCTTGTTGAGGCAACGGGATGTCGAGCTCTGTCTGCCCAAGGTGGTCCCTGCCCTGTTCTCTTAAGTGAGATGCTCTCGTTCTTTCAGCCCCATGGATAACATTCTCGCACACCAACCAAGTGTCTACACCATATAACAGTTCTATCATTTGTGTTCGGCGTAACTTTCGAGTATTTCGTATTTCCAGCGGGCCGCTCTCCGTTCAAAGATCGGTTTTCTCGAGCCCTGACAGACCAGCATTTCTCTCACCATTTTTCACTTGGATTTAGAGTTCATTCTGTCTTTCCGCTTCTGGGCATGTTTCCACAGCATTTCTCCCACCATTTTTCACTTGGATTTAGAGTTCATTCTGTCTTTCCGCTTCTGGGCATGTTTCCGCTCCGCCGCCGCTCCGCCTTTTCTCGATCACGTGTGGAGCACTCTGTCTGCTCTCGGGTTTCTCTTCGCTCTCCGTCTGCCTCATTCCCTCTGCAGACTCTTCGCTCTCCGTCTGCCTCATTCCCTCTGCAGACCAGCACCAGCACTCTGTCTGCTCTCGGTTCGTTCTCTATGCTCTCCGTCTGTCTGCAGCACCTCATTTCTGCACGCCCAGCATTCTGTCTGCCTCTTCGTCTCGGAACACAAATATAGTCTCCGTTCAAATATCGTTTTTTTCGAGCGCTCCGCCGCCGCTCCGCCTTTTCTCGATCACGTGTGGAGCACTCTGTCTGCTCTCGGGTTTCTCTTCGCTCTCCGTCTGCCTCATTCCCTCTGCAGACTCTTCGCTCTCCGTCTGCCTCATTCCCTCTGCAGACCAGCACCAGCACTCTGTCTGCTCTCGGTTCGTTCTCTGCACTCTCCGTCTGTCTGCAGCACCTCATTTCTGCACGCCCAGCATTCTGTCTGCCTCTTCGTCTCGGAACACAAATATAGTCTCCGTTCAAAGATATACTTGGAGCTCTGGAGCCCTAAAATTCGATTCGCACGTCGCGCTCCCCCCCACACCTCTCACTCCCCTACACCTCTCACTTCTACCGTTTTTTTCGAGCGCTCCGCCGCCGCTCCGCCTTTTCTCGATCACGTGTGGAGCACTCTGTCTGCTCTCGGTTCGTTCTCTTCGCTCTCCGTCTGCCTCATTCCCTCTGCAGACCAGCACCAGCACTCTGTCTGCTCTCGGTTCGTTCTCTGCGCTCTCCGTCTGTCTGCAGCACCTCACAAGTAGCTATGAAGGATAGGTTGTAGCGACCACGAGAATAGTCGACGAGAATAGTTGTTGGTTTCAAAGTCTTTGGGTTAGCAGATCGTCGTTGTGCGCTGCCGTTAGTGTGTGACTTTTCGGTGGTCATGCTGTCAGGATGACTATGTCATGTCGTGTCGTATGCGTCACTATGCATCCCACGAGGATAGTTGCTGGTTTCAAAGTCTCGGCTCGTCGCGTGTTGTGCGTATGTGTGCTGCCGTTAGTGTGTGACTCTTCCTTGGTCATGTTGTCAGGATGACTATGCCATGTCGTGTCGTATGTAGTGTGTGACTTTGCCGTTGTCATGAAGTTTGCGTGGTTGACTATGCCGGTTCGTGTGGTTTGCGTTGGGTGGCGCCCGTGTTGTTGACTACGCCGTGTCGTGTCGTTGCGTGGACCGTGCTTTAATTTACCGTTGCCTTAGTGTGCACCGTGTGACTTAGTTGTTAAGCCGTGTCGTGTCGTATGCTTAAGAACGTGTTTCTGCTCACTACTGCTCATAACGCACGTTCAGTGTGTGACTTCGCCCTATGTGGTACATCATTTCTCACATCTGCATACTGCGGGAACAAATTGCTGGGAATCTCACAGCCACCGCATACCATCGTTTACCAGACGCCAAGAAACATGCGTCTTGCGGTACGCTTCTCTCAGCGTGGCGGCGTAAGCCGCCGAAACCTTGTAGTCTTCTTACAATTTAACTTTTCTCTCAGAACGCTTCATTTCGCCTCTTTCGGCTTCTGTGAGCGCTCTATTCCGGTTTTCTCGGGCTCTCACAGAGCAGCATTTATTTCCTCTGGAAATTTCCCCTGGAAATTTGGCGCTTTGGTGGACTTTTCAGTTTTGTCTTCCGCTTTTATCTCTCTCGCCTGCTGCTGTCACCCCGCTCTGTACCATCATACCACGCATTCCACTCGAAGTTCGGCCCTCTCCTCTGTGTGTGCCTCCTTCTCCTCCGTTCCTCCGTCTCTCTATGTCTCTAACGGTCTGTCTATCCACACCCTCTTTTCATTTTCGCCTTCTCTCTTGACCGCTCTCGCGTCGGAATGGTCTGTTGTTTGTGCCGATGGTTGTGCTACTGCGGACTCTCACAGAGCAGCATTTCCTCTGGAAATTTGGCACTAATGTACCATCATACCACGCATTCCACTCGAAGTACGGCCCTCTCCTATGTGTGTGCCTCCTTCTCCTCCGTTCCTCCGTCTCTCTATGCCTCTGACGGTCTGTCTATCCACACTCTCTTTTCATTTTCGCCTTCTCTCTTCACCGCTGTCGCGTCGGAATGGTCTGTTGTTTCGTAGTGCTATTCTTTTTTTGCAGCTCAAGTAGTGCGTTAAATTGGTAGTGCTGTCTTTCGTCATTCGCAGTTCAGCCGACAATTTTGTCTATTTTTTGCAGTTCTGAGTGCTGGATGAGTATCAGATAATGGAGGGGTACCGGGCACGGCGATGGGAAACAAATAATGGACCTTTACATCTCCTTAAATCACACACAAACCTCCATCATGGGAACTCCACCTTCACGGAAACTTTAACTGCCATCGGTGCCTACCTTCATTTAACAACATCCTACACACACTTTCAGAGAAAACATTGCCTTGGAATCGCTTCAAACAAAGCGGGAGCGTGCAGCGCCCAAAACCTTGTACATGTTTCTGACTGACCTCGGCGCGTGGTGCAGCGTTGTAGCCCTAGCTCTTCGATGGGCTTCCCGGAAACATGGAGTTGGTTAGAGGAAGATGGTGACACGAATGTACAGCGGTATACACAGCGAGCGGCACACCAATACCTTGATGAGTACCACCTTCACTTCTACCGCAGTGCAGGGAGGGGCAGCATACAAGAGTGAATAATACCCGCCTCACCTATAGGTTCAGGTGTCGGCGCACGCGCCAGTGCTGAAGTCGGCGCGGCGGCCGTTGCAGTCCGGATCGTGAATGCGATTGAATCGAAAAATCTGCCCGGGGAGTGGTTTGAACGCCAATCGCAGAATCGGAGATGATTGGTCACACATCGGGCAAATCAAACACCCGTGTAGTCGGATTATCCACGGCGTAGGGCTTGAACGGAAAGCTTCTGGAAGACGTGGGGAGCCACATCTCATGGTTCCGAACTCTTCAACTACTGCACGCAGCTTGAGTAATAATTGTACTTTGATACCCAGAATTTTTCCAGTCGATATCCTGCAGTCCCTCGTCGCGCCTTCATCCACCTTGCCGTCCTTGGCATGATGGTATCTTTCTGAATCGTGGCGAACGATGACTGGCTGCAACAACATCGAAAGTTGGCGTCGAACGCGATATCGAATCTGAAAAGACAATGTTTGTGAAATTGATAGATGGGGCATTCAAGGGAGAATCCGGGAGCAGGAGGGGAACAATGAGCATTTCGAGCATTTTTGAAGGTCCTCAATCAATGCAAAGTGGAGTAACAGAAAACATAATGAAAAGTGATGGTTTGAATAAACGAACGGCACCGTGAGCGAACAATGTTCCCGTTGGTAAATTTCGTTATGTGGGAGCCGTGCCATAATGAAACGTTCTGTGGAACGCGATGTGGCGGGCAGAGGTTGATGGAGTGTAACGAAAGAAAGTCGGTACAAAAGGTTTTCATACTATGCGCCCTGTGAAAACGATCGCCAAGCAAGCGCACCAACAGTACGGCAACGTTTAGGGATGAGGCCAGGGGAACGAACCCCCCCGGCCGACCTTACGCAAACAAATGAACATTTCCTGGAACTGTGGACGATGCTCGTGAATCCTGTGTACTACGGCATTGTTACTGCTCCTGCCAGCGGTAGTCTATACTGTTGTATCATCCCAAGATATGACGGCAACTGCGCCTCTCGGTTACATATATTCAAAGCTTGTGCCCACTCACTCGTCACTCGACCCGTGAACGACGAGCATCGCCGTTGCCGGAAGAAGCTTGTACTATGAAGGGGAACAAGAAGAGGACATGTTTCTGTCGTCTTCAACTCCAGGTGGAATGAAAGGAAGGAGACCTGACGACACGAGGGCCGAACTCGGGACGTGATACCTATTCGTGGAACTACATTTCAACAATGAGGGGGCCAAGGTTCTCCGCCCACGACACTGACGACAGCATGTACGAGAGGCCGTTCAAGAGTGCACGAATCCACGATCGACGTTCGATCTTCGTAGGCACTGTTCAGTATGTATATTCGCTTTCATCCCTTTCCCGTACAAACCAGAGCGGACTCTTGATAGGGTGCAATGCCCAATTCGTCCTCCTCCTTTTCCGATACATCCCTCTAGGCGAGTGTCCACACACATCGTCCGAGCTTCAAAATGGTTTCGTCTTCAACACGTGAGGGTCGTTCTCAAAATGGAGCCCTTGGTTCCTGTGCCGTCAAACCCGGGGAGATCCCTGACGAGGTCCCTGACGATTCTTATCCGGGACGAGGGAATGACTCAGCAGCAGTGAAATTTTGTTGACGCGAAAATCACAGCTGCAGTTCATGTCAACCTTCACCATCCTCAAACGTCTCCCGGTATTGGAAGGTCCTCCGTTGTCGACGAAAACTCGTCACTGGTGCAGAGGGAAAATACAATAGAACGATTCGCCAGAAATGTTTTTTCCTCGCAAAATACCTTGGGGACTGGCCATTCTGCTCGCCGAGCAATGTCTTCTTCCGCTTTCGAAGTGAAAATTTACCAAGAGCAAGTGCCCACGCTTGATCGCTGTGGAGACAGACCCCACGTTGCAAGATGTGTAACGTTCGCTAGAAAATTCATTTCGAAACATTTACATTCGTTCCGGTCTCCGCTCAGTTCATTCAAATATCCGCCCAGGTCTTACGCCTGTCGTGGTCACAAGCCAATGACCCACTTATGGGGAGCACCATTCTAGAGTCAAAAGAGCAGAACTGAGTAACTTTGGAATAGCATGGTTGATTCTTGAGGACGTCGGCCTCGCCAAACGGGTCGCCCACACAAGTACCATTTTGGTTTGGCTACGATGTACAGCTGAGAGACAAGAAAGACTAATGTACGGTTAATCGTGTCGCTTTCATTACATGTACAGCGGAAAACCATGCACGTACGTGCTTTGCTGAAACCACGCCAAGTGCAAGCTCCTGCTACGCGCAGCAAAGCGGTACTATAGAAACCCACCAAGCACCAGGTCACCTGTCTACATCACTAGGCGAGAAGTGACAAATAGCTCATGATGGCTACGCAACCAACCCCCACAGGTCGCCGATGAAACTCTACGCTGAGACGGGGCACACAACATACATCAAGTTTACAAACAATACTCACCGTCTCTGGTCGACAAAACACAAAAAACATCCTGGACGCGAACGTGCGACAAGTTGTAGACCAAAAACAAAACCACCTTCCGTGGGGTCGGACACACCAGCTCGCCGGAATGCAATCTTCGATATCCACATCTCCACGTGGGCCCTCGTCGGATGTGCTGTGGGCTGACATCGGCTGTTGAGACCGGATCGGTCAAGGGTTGGGTTATGCGAAAAAAATGGCACACAGACAGGCAGCAAGTTCTACCTAGCTTGGCAAACTCTGACACAAAATGTGTTACGGCAACCAGCACGTCACGTCACGCCACAGCACATCCGTCGAGCGTTCATTTCACCAACAACACACGCGTTCCACTCAGAAACCCATTTATATACGACCAATAGTCTGAAAACCTAGGAGAACTAGTACCATCCATGCATTGATTGGCGCATGCACGAAAACAGCCCTGTGTGTGTCTAATTCACTTCCACGACAGGCAAAGAGAAACCAGCCAGTCAGTTCAAATGTACGACAGGCTTGACCGCCGCATCAAATTCCTCAGTCGCCCTCTTTTCCTCTACCTGCCGTTCTCCACCCATCCCGGCATCCTGGGTCTAGACTTCCGGGCTTCAGTTGTTCCGCCAGGTATGGCATAAGAAGAAGCACTACCACCCGTTGGCCATCTACTCGGAGGGTGCTGCTGATTTTTCTGCGGCCAAGCTCTCATTAGCTCTCCGCTGACATCGAACCCCCCGTCACGACCATCGTACATCGTCACAGGTCCCCCAGTCGGGCCAGCCGAGTACGAGGGAGGGGGAAGCTCGGCGTCGCCACTCACGTACGTCGAGGGTCTGCCACTCGCACCGTGGCGCCAACCCCCGATACCGCTGCCCAGAGCGGCCGGAACGGCCCAGCGACGGCGGGCATCTGCCGCGCCATCCGCGGCCACGCAGGGATAAGGGTCGTGCGCCTTTCCCGAACGAACGCCGCCGCCCCCGCCCCCTCGGCCCTGGCCATTGCCGTGGCGATCGCCGACCCCATCTACTGCTGCACCGGGGGATGCCGCGAAGGTGGGAACTACGGCGTGTTGTCGAGCGTAGGAGGAGTACGACGCACGTGCGCGGGAGTCTACATGATCGTCGGTTGGCGGAACCCGTCCGCTGAAAGACGTCCTCAACACCGACCTCGGCTCGGCGGGGGTGTCGGGGGTGGGTCGCTTGGTGCCAGAGTACAGCGGCACCGGATGAGGATCGGTGTACGGGTGATTGATTCGATCGAACACCCTGGAAAAAAAAGGAGGATTGGCAAAGGTGTTTCCACCGACGAGAATGGGGGACAGGCAAAGCGTACACCGGTCAAAGACGCTGGCACCTTCGGGCGTGCTTTCGGAAGCAAGCATCTATTGTTAAGCCCTGGCCAGGGCAGCACATGGACATAGTATGAGATCTCCGAATCGCAATGGCAGCCTCAACGTTCAACTGCAGCATTCTCAAAGTGAAAAAAAGCGTGACGTTCGGCAAATGGCATTCAGCTTGTGGATGAACACCCGGAGAATGCTTACTTGACGAAAGCCATGAAGATCTCCGGCTGTTCTTGGAGACAGCTTTCGGCCCTCTCCAGTAGCTGTTGGTCGCAACGAAGCCGAGGCATTCGAAGAGCAAAGCAGCGGGGGGAGAGTCATAGGTGTGTCCATTGGAGCCAACGCACGTCCCAAAAAATGCGAGGACGGACTCTTCACGTCAAACCACACCGGTTCAACCGGGGTGCAGGAGCGCTGGTCGATTCTGCTGGTGCTGACCCTTACAAAACTCCGACTGATCGCTGCCCAAAGCATGAAAAACGGCAGCGCTCACCTGGGCACGAGTCATTGGCTTGTGAATGTGTGTGACGAGGAGGCCTCTCATGTACACAAGTTGGTCCTGAAAGGCAGAGAACAGGGGGTGCCGAAAAGCTTTGGTGTGCTGTTCTAGTATCAACAAACACTTTCATCGGTGGACAGTTGAGTGAAAGTGTAAGGTTACCGCGGAATGACTACTGGCCATAGCTGCAAATCCCACCTGATCCATGTAAGCGTTTGCTCTTTCCAGCAGCCTCCAACAAGGATACATGAAGCCGAACTCGCCGTCTTCGTCCGCGGCCGCCTCCTTCGGCTTTCGGTAAAGAGGGTAGCAGCCGCTGCCGCTGCTGCTGCTACCACCGCCGTTAGCGGCAATGTGACCCCTACCGCTACCAACTGCGCTCTCGCGCCTGACCTTTGCGTTAACGTGCACAGGAACGTGAGATTGTGGCAAACGTTCCCCCTGTCGTGCCACGGCCATCACGTTGCGGTAGCCGTATGGCGCCGGAGCTGCTCGCGAACACGAGCGACAGACATGTTCGGGGTAGATTAGGTGGCGTTGGGAAATTCGTCCACGGCCGACAGAGTTAAGGCTGGCAAGTGTCGGTAGGCGACAAATTCAGGGACGCCGAAGGTTCGTATTGTGATAAGCGAACCACGACGTGTGTAGCCGACGGCCACAGCCAGCCCAGTTCATTGTGCAGGCCGACCCACGACTGTTGAAATAAATTTCAAATCAGCTATCTTGAGGATTTTGGTTGCAAACTTGACAGCCGGCCGAAAGCGTTACAGGTGGCCACCTGCTTCGGCAGATGGGGAGTGATAGTGCCCGTGCGGCTGAAGTGTGTGCTGTTGCTGCCAGAGCACCTGTGCATGAGAAGGTCGATAGCGTCGCCCTCAACCCCTTGTGTTGTACCATATCTTCTTGACCCCGACCCAGAGTGAACACACCAGTGCAGGCGGGAGTGATGTGACAGTGTGAAACGTATTGATGTGATTGTATTGATTCGCGCCACGATCGATACATCATCTGGCCTACAAGGTAAGATGGCAACTGTTCTCTAAGGTTGCTACATTTGGATTTATTTCGCGAACGACAGCATTTGCTAGGCTTGCGTTGTGCCTGGGACGTGACGGCAGCAAGGAACCAATTTCACAAATCAGCAGGCCAGTGAAATAATGACAACAAGTGCTTAGAATGACTAGGCAACCGTTTTGGAGTACCACGCGTGCGTTGATGCACACAATTGACGCATCATGTGCAATATTTTCCTCCCTCTGTGTATGAAATATAAATCGTTGTCATGATGGCTGCGTCGCACAAGTATGGATGACCCCAAGAAGTGCCTTGTCTATTCCTATGCCCTGCAAGCAAGCAAATATTCCAACTTTGGAGTGGGCAGGTACGGTTATCTGAGGCTGACGCTGGCCACAAAGTGAGTCCTTGAAAACACCTGCGCACCTGTCATTCCAACGGATGCCAATGCACTAATCTGGCGAGATTGTGCCTTGGTGCCGACTTGTCTTTCACGCCCCGCTTCGAAGCCAGAGACAGAAGTATACTGTGACCCCGGAGTGAAGCAAACCCCACGTGCGGTGTTGTGAGGATTTTTCACCTGTTGCAGCGATAAACACGCCATGTAAATCACGGAGTGAAACAGCAAGGCAACAGTCAGCAACGCCGTTCATCATGCGAACAGAAGGTAAAACACGTGCGCGTACGACCTTGGGCTCTTCCGAAACGTCGAAGAAAATGAGCACTTGACAGGGCCATACCGCCGGCGGCCACGATCCCCGGAGCAGAAACACTTCCTGAACGCTGGCAGCTGAGCAAATTCATGGTTCCTACTTGGCGATATCATGGCACGGACAGTATTTACCTCGAGCACCTCGACGTCAGCAAAACCGTTCCCGGATGCAGTCCCTGGGCCCCTGCGTACGGCCCGGCGCTGGTATTCGCGGCTAACATTGCCATTAGGAGGCGCGTAGTGGGGAGCAGAAGCAGACACACGGACACCAAGACCAGCAGTGGCGACCGTCGCAAGAGGTCGTTTGTGGTCATCTGGCATCACGCCTCTGTTCTGTGTCGTCGATACAGGTGGCCCAGGAGCTGCCTGTATGATGAGCTTCGGCTTGCGTTGAGGGTCTTGGGTCGCGATGCTTCTGTTACGAATGGCAGGGCCATTTGTGGGCGGGCCGGCCGCCGTGTGACTGGTGGCCGGCTTAAGTTGGGCGGTGCTTGTTTCTTTCGGGGATTTGGTGGTGCCAGCGGGAAGGATGGCTTCGAGCTTCCGTGCCTCTGCCGCCTGTCCACGGCAAGCAGACAGGTTGGTCGGTGTGGCGATTACGATGGATATACGTTAGGCCTAGGTTTGCCGAGGCGTGCCTACGAGACGTGTGCATCGGCGGTGGAAGCAGGAAGACCAAGCTTTCGTGCACCTAAGGAGGAACCCGAATATGACATACTCACCTCCTTGCCGTAGACGACGTCCGTCAGGGGTTTGGCGTGAGCAAGATACCGGTAGTAGAACGACAGAACCTGTGCAGGCAGGGCCGTGAGCACGAATATGTAAAAATGCAGAACGTCGAAGATAATACCCAACATCATCAAGGGCCAGAGATAAACATTCAGAGAGGGAATCATGAATGAACAACAGAGAGCCGACTCCAAGGGTTCGATAGTATTGGTATACTGGTACGTTCAATGGTCTCAAGGTTGAAAGGCTTGACAAATATAATATCGCACCTGGGCGCGGGTCTTGCCGCGGACCTGCTTGCAAACGTTCGCGAGATCAATGAAGTCCTCTCGTTCAAGGTCCATCCCTTCTCGTGCCCAGCCGTGCAACCGCCTGTCCCATTTGAACTCCTTCTCCAGAACCTGCTCCAGAGTTCTCACCTAATCACGCAGACACAAGGCACGGAAAGGTCAACGTATTACAGCAAAATACGGTTTTATTCGGATGTAAGAGAACCGACGAATGATTGAGAACATTTGGTCATTTCGGCGGATCTTTTCAACGTATCGGAGAATTTGGGCGAAGTCACCCGCGAAGGCCCCCTGTTCTGCAGGCTCATGCTAGCAGATGGGACAAATCGTACAGATGAAAACATGCAGAAGTCTACGCGTACCTGTGAGAGCGTCCACGGAGCTACGCTCTCCGTGGATGCCTGGTCGAGAACCTTCAGGGCGGGCCTGAAGTCGTCCAGGGTACACCTCGCTTTGACCAAGGCAGCCAGAGCTTCTTCTTCGCTCTGTGGACACAGAGAACGAAACAGAGAGCGCATATTAAAAGAAGCTTTGCCATTGTACATTGAAGTGTATATTACGCACACCAAACAACGGTTCGGCAACTCTGGTCCATGACCAGCCAGGCCACCATAATATAGCATATACTGCAGGAGCATGCCGCCGCTTCACGCCAGCCACGTAGCAACACCATTCCCGCCAACCTCATCCATGTTGCTGTCCACACGAATTCCCACGAGATACGGGTCAACGCGACTTTGCATCTATCCGACCGGGCAAGAAGCAACAGGTAACCACAATGACTGACACACCACGTTGCCGTACCTGAACCCGTTGGACGGCAGACATCGGGACGTTTGTCTGAGCCATTTCCGAGCACGCAACGCGAGTCACTCCAGGAGAGTGGCGACCAGCCGTTATTGCCCACACGGCGTAGCTGCTGGCGACACTGGTGGTTACCCCCTTGTCTCCCTTTGCTGCACTACCGCTGTCTCCGAGGCGCACATGCACAGCCACGCCAGGGGAGGCTTGCTTCTTCTGCAAGACATCCTTCGCCGCATGGAGATATGTCGACAACATCTGACGGGATTGCGGATCCCAGTTGCGGATACTCCGCCACACCTTCCCCATGGTTAACAACAGCGAGAGGGAGGGTGACAACGGCCGTTTTGAGAAATCTCCCCAGGAGGTCGCGAAACAAGCAGGTGAGTGTGGTGGACGTACGTTGATATATCGTCTGCCCGACGTTGGAAATTGCTTATTGACTTGACAATGTATACGTTATCTAAATCCATCTCTGTGTGTAGGTCCCCGGTTTACCTGAACGGCTGTGTAGGTTTCCGTACTTATCTGTGTACCCCCACCGCTCCCCACCGCTCCCCTCTCCGTCGGTTGTGCAGGTTTTTCTGTACTACTCAAAGGTTTGCGTCCCTGTGCACCCCTACCACTCACGCCTCATACGTTGTGAATTAGTCTAAATGAATTTGACATTAAGTCCCCTTGTGCAGGTAGAGAGGCAGAAAACAAAACGCAATTTTATGAAGTGCAAACAGACGTGTATGTATGTGCCACGGCCCGAGCCCACTGGTGGCGCGTTCGACGGACCATAAAAAAGCAGGCGGGAATCAGCAGGTCTCTGTTGGTATAAATTTGCGACTCATTATATTTAGAACGCATATGGAACTAAGAGTTATCTGGGGTACTGTTTACGCCATATACTCTGCCGCATACCCAAGTGGGTTCGAATCACGTGTAGACCGTGATCTACCCAGAGAAAATCTATGCAGAGGAAGCGCCATCACACGTGCGCGGAATAAATTAGAAAACCCTCCATATCGCGATCGCGTCCCCAAAACTGAAAAATAACAAGTACCCAAAACAAACACCCCAAACATTCCAGTGTATATCATGTCCATAATTGCGTCCCCGAACTGAAAAATAAAAAAATACCCAAAACAAAACACAATCCACTTCAGTAATCATTGACAACAACAGCATCTTGTTGTGTCTACCGGTCGGTCCTAAAAACCTGCCAGAGGTTTCATGGACAGGTGGTCCGAATGAAACGGATCTATATTACAGTCAGCAAGCTCGGGGTATATACTACAATACGAAGTGTACTTCGTAGTTTATTTCATGGCCTTTTCCTCGACGTTTCTCTCTTCAGATGATCGCTCGTTAGCAGGTCACATCTACAGCACACAGGGCACTACAGCTAGAGTATGATACTATCTATTTATTGGGGTCCCCAGCAACAAGAGGGCATGCGGGCGAGGGGCACATGGGTTTGTTGCGTTTCTGCTTCATGGACGCAGAATCCACACAAATATGGTCTGGTATACCTTAGTCGAAAGCTCGGCGCCAAATCGCCGACACACAAAGCTTGCCCAATAACTGCACAAAGAAGACAACACTTTCAGGGATGGCAAACTGAAGCTCACCATCTTGGCACCTGTCCCAGCAGCGGGATGCCCCGCCTCTTCCTTCCTCTCTTCTGCCGACAATAGGTCTGGGATGTCGGCTTGGTAGTCGTCACCGACTAGAATTTGCTGCGGATCGCAGTCCGACTTCTCCGCACCGTCCACGGCAGCCTTGGTGGAGCGCCCCCTCGTTCTCGTTCCCGCAATCGACGGTCGGCACTTCGATCCCAATGCCCCCCCTGCATCTCGTGTGGTTTCCGCCGAACAACGCGGCACGGACGAAGTTGGCGAGGAAGGTGTTGCTCCCGTGCTTCCAGCTCGTGCTTGAACCGAGCCGCCCGCCTTCGGAGGGGTAGCCGTGGAGGAGGAGCCGAGTGGCTCTGCAGAACGCCTTGAACTGAGCGCTGGCATTCCTTCAACGGGGGGCATGGCTAGACGCCGCGGTCGTTTTGGTAGAGGCTCTTGTTGCTCCACATCCCTATGAGGCACCAGCGGGGTCTCGCGCATGGGCGGAGTTACAGCAGGTACCGCAAGTGGAGGTGAAGAAGGACTCGTCTGAATCTTGTCGTCACAGGACGGATCGACACCCTGGTCATACTCTTGGCCGAGCGATTTCTTGGGTCGGATCGACTTCCTCACCCGCAGCTCCTGTGCATCATGGTTCCCTCGGTCGGTGGAGTTGCTGATGTCGCTCGCGTAGTCGCTGTCTTGGTCGTCGTTTTCCCACTCCGGGTCATCGGACTTAGGTTCCTCCCCTTCTGAGGACTCTCCCTCGCTGGGTTCTCTGACTGATACGGTGTCGCCCACAGATGTGGCAGCTGCGATGCTGCCACGTCTGTCGGCACTACCCTTGACAGCAGCAGGCCCTACTGTCCTTCGCTTCGGCAACAGCCAACCGCTGCTCTGCATCGCACGCTGGCCGCTGTCGGCGGCAGCGACTTCCTCGGCGCGACGTGACGCGCGCGCGACAGCTTCCACGAGCCGAATTCTCGCGCGTTTGGCTATGGCGTCCGTACACTCCACAGGAGTGAATTCACCCGAACTAACATCGAATGAATGGGTGAGCCGTGGCCCTAAGTTCCTTTTCCATCCGGCGGGCGAATCGTCACGGATACCCACGCAGAGCGTGACTGGCTTATCTATCAATACCGCGTCAAGGTCCTCCCTTTTGTTTGTGAGGAACACTTCGTCGTCGTCTGCTTTCTGGTCTCGCTTGGACAACGGAGAACTTGGATTGGAGGCGGAAGCCACCTTAACGCCGCTGTTGCTGCCAGTTGTTCCCTTGTCTTCAAAAGCGAGGCGATCCTTGCCAAGGCGAGCAATAGCGTCTTCGGGAAGGTCGGATGCGTACACCAGATACCGTGCGCGAAACTTGAACAAGCCGGTGAAGGTGTCTTCCCACATCGACAGAACCTGCGTGGTCAATCACAACGCGGAGCGTATCCGTGTGGCGAAGAAAGTGGGAATATTCGGAAATCGTAGATAGAAATGACATGCGCTGGGATGCATTTGTGGGTTCGGCGTGCCCATTCGCACAGCTTTACGCTTAATCAAGGACAACCTACCTCTATCGGAATAATGTGGCTAGAATAGTATCGCCCAAGTAGGTGCATACGCAGGTTGACCTGAAATCTATGGCGCAATGGTTTTCTTCTCGCACTCATTTGAGGCAGAGAGGAGCCCCTGATCATTCCAGACCCAGTCCGGGACATGTGTCTCACGTTTCCAAAAGAATGTCAATCAACACCTAACCAAAACACGTATTGCAGGTACAATACTAAGCAGTTGCGGAAATATTTATCCAAGTTGAGCATAATCTCTTTCGACCAGCCAAGACCGGAACGATGGCTACCCAGTTCCTTAGAGAAGCATTCGAGGTCGTTCTCACATGAGACCATAGCTCAAGCCATGTTCGAGGCTTCCAGAAAACCGACAGAAAGGCACACATTTGTAGCACCGGATGAAGCCATTATACTGCCGGGGACAAGACATTCTGCACTGATGTATGTGGCGGCAACCTATTGGCGGTCGCGGTACAACCAAACTGTGGAATATTGTTGGCGCTAATGCACCATGGCCGGTATTCTTCTAACTCCGGGTCGGGGTGTGAACTCGAGGTGCAAAAAAAAGCGGTAAATATCCCCCTGCACTCTCTCTCGAGAGAGAGAGCTTCTCTTCGCCAAATCTCGAGAAGAAATCTGTCAGCCCCCGGTAGTAGGAAAAGACTACCACGACCTGGGTCTCCTTCCAACGAGGGAAGCGTGTGTACTGATATAAAACCCCATTCTACCGGGAACACCAACGACCTAAATGCAAAAACTCGGAAACATAGACATATCCAGCTAGAGACGGTACAGTCGAAGCAAACCTACGGGAAAATGCGAAAACTGCAAACATCGTTCCGGAACCCGCAACCCAGTCGAGCGTACGAAGAACCAGGCAGGTCAATGAGTGAGTGCCGATATCGAAGAATAACCATAAAAATAGAGGGCAGTGTTCAGATACACGAGTGTACAAGGCTCCCCTCTGGAGTAAGATGGCTTGCTTCTAGGGGGTGACGCAAGAGGACATGGTCAATGTCATCGCAGTCGCATCGTTGCATCTCGATGTCATGACGTTCGGTAGTGAGTGCCGGTTTTGCGTACAACCTGCAGAACTGTGGGCGTAAACCACAAGCGCCACGGATGGCTGGCGGTCCTCGGACGTGCGTGGTAATGTACTGACGACACCCCTGCGTGCCCCTGAGAAGTTAAGCGTGAGAAAAGACTCGCTTCCGCCAGTGAAAGATGTCTCGAAGCACGAAAACAGGCAAAATGATACATGCACAATAATGATAGAGACGCAAGAGAAAAAAATATCCGTGTATCCGCTTGCATCATACGCAACGGTCATCCGTTGAACAACGAAAAAACAGTTAAATCGGAGTTGCGAAGAAAATAAACGCGAAGAACGGCCGAAAACGAGAAAACCAGACCACTCACGAAGCTCGGGTCGGCAAACGATGCCAAACAAAAATCAAGTATTATCAGAGAAAGAAATACCCACACAACAGGAACGGGATACGCAAATATGAAAACATTTCGAAGATTGGAGAAAAAAACAATGGCAACAAACGACCACGAATTCACAAAAAGGCAGACAACGCGATTAATCACGGAAGGAAAGAAATTGCTTTAGGGAATTGACACCGATAGCTGCCGGGACAGACGTCCGGAATGAATGGGATGAACACCAACTCGGGGGGTTCACACAAACCCATATTTCATGTAGTGGTGAATATCGCACCATGGATTTATCTTTAGATATAGAGCACCGAAGGAATTTTTGCCACCTCCATATGTCGATATTTCGGTTTCAATGGGTACATCGGCAAATCGATAAACAGCCACGAACCACCGATGTTCCACACGGAATCCCCGAAAGAACCATCACCTGTCTTGGTAGGTTGTGGTTTAGAAACAACCATCACCTGTCTTGGTAGTTGTGGTTTAGTATCCAACACCGTGAAGGAGGCCACAAATCGCGTGCTATTTTGAGAATAGCGACAACCGAACCACGGTAAGGTAGCAGCTGCTGCTACATCCTTTAATTTTCAACTCTTTTCGGAGAGCTTCACTTTCTACGAAGAGATTGCATATTGTTGTGATGTGCGACCGGGAACTAGTAAATAATACTTGGTGGAATTTGCCTGTAAACAGCCGGCCTATTTCACGGTAACTGGGATGGGATATAGAAGCGCAATTGCTCTGTTCTTTTCCGTGTCTCGCGCGTCAGCTCACTGACTGCTGTGCTCGCCGTCTCGCTGGGCTGGCCCCGCGGCTCGTTTGGGCCTCATCATTGGTACAAAATCGATGTATCGACATCGACGAAACATGTTCAAAATCGAATTGACTATTGTCAGATATAATCTAGAAAATAAAATAGTAAGCAGTGGCAGAGAGCTATGCTTCTCACGGAGCTGTAGTCTACAATAGTGCTCTTTGCAGAGAAGCTGTGTTCTGTGACGTGTAGACAGTAAATAGAGCAACATGCTTCGCGCGAACAGGTTAGGGTGTTTGGGTGTCAAATGCGCCAACAACCAATTTTCGCATTTTTTTAGATTAGGAAAATATATATATACCCATTCGAGATATGACCGCACGTTGACATTCGATTACACAGCCGTTGTACAAACATAGGTGGGCATTTAATAAATTAATTGCGTGTGGTTTGGGGAATGTTTTTGGTTATTACGGGGGGTGACTATACATGTGGGTGTGTTTGATTAAATTAATTGTTTTTAGGTTTGGGGAGTACATACGAATGGGTAGTCTTTCTGTGTGTGTTTTTATTATTCCTTAATTCATATAGGAGCGCTGAAAATGGAACCCTACCGGTTGACTCTTCTTTCATTCTGGAAAATGAAATGAACGCTTGCTGATTAAACAGCACACCCACACCCAAACTGCGTGTGTGTACATGTGTACCACCCGCTGCAACAAACCTTCACGCAGCGGAAGCGCCTGCAGATACAACCGCTGTTGCACATGCAAAGTGCGTCCGTTTTATGCCGGCTAAAAAGACGACAAACCGGCGGCATAAAAAAAAAAAAAGTCTGCTGGCGCCAGATTATATATTTAAATTTAGGCTCTTAGTTACGGTGTACCGGTTCTCTTGGTTCTCAGGGCCACACGTTCACAAAAGGCTCCTCTGGCACCTTCAGCAGAGTGTGTAGCTTCTCTTCCCGTTGTCTTGTCGCACGCACGCACGCACGCAGGCTTGCACGATTGCTTGCCTCCGTAATCCGCTGGTGTCTAACTCTGTCCCAGCCTCTGCTTTTTTTTCCGGCGAGAGTGTTTGTTTTGCCGGGACTACATGCGCCCGTCGTCAGATTCCAGCAGCAGCAAACAACTATATTACAAAATATTTACACCTGACCTGGACAAAATCTCAAAAAAAAATCGCATCTGCTGTGATATGCTGTCTGTGCTCTGATGAACGCTGAGTAAACCAACCTGGGCCAGCCGAAGATGTTTGGGGAACACTCCGAGTTGCTTAGCCTCGGATTTGACAGCAGAACGAGAAATCTCGACGACATCGTTGACGTTGACTTGCTCGCCGGTGCCAGCCAGCTCGAGAGCCCCATAGTGCCGCTGCCTCCCTATGGGAGATGCCGGTGCTCGGTCGTTCTTGGGAGTCGAGACTGAGGAGCCGACCCATCTGGTCAAAATCGCCATAGCCTCAATAGACCGGAGAGTCTGGAGCCACCACCCACGCCTTCGTAGAAACGCGCGGCAGGCCGCTCTCCTACGTGAACAAGCGTGGTGGTGAAGCCCGCTGTCGCAGAAGGTTCGAGGATGGTGCAGCAGGATGCGTCTGCTGCTGCTGTGTGTGCCCACACAAGCGAAAAGATTAATTATTTTTCGATCGGACCGCGGGTTCTACGTTTTGCCGCTTCGGGCCATTTTTTCCGGTGGCACGGCAACGGAAAGCAGCAGCAGCAGTCTACGCAGATTTATCAACAGCTCCGCAGATAAGGTACGGTGGTCTGCAAACGCTCGGTTGTGGTTGTTCAGGAGATATGCAGATAGATGTCGGCAAGCAACGGCAGCTGTAGACCCCACAGCGTGGTTGATTTCCTCCTATCTATGTATCTCTCTTTTTATGCTTTTTTCTCGGAAGATTCGGAAATTACCAGGCAGATGTCGCCTTTACTTACACAAGTACATGCTGGTATACTTCTAGTCAAGAGTTGCACCGACGCAGTTGCACCGGCGTGACCATGCTGCCGAGATTTCGACCTCTTTGCCCCCCAGAAAACAAGTTCACAGCAGTAAAACATATATACATGCATGTCGTAATTGTGGCATGCCCATGGGACCCAGCCACCTGCTGGAAGGTGCTTCCAAGTAGTCTAGTTCAGAATTTTCTATCTTTCCTTTCTTTGTTTGGCCGTTAACGAATCACTCAGGGAGCGTCGATCTGAGCGACGGAAGGCCGGTAGGGGCATCAGTCACCGCCGTTCCCAACACAAACAAACAAATCTGTGTCGATAACCAAGCGCTGTCCCTTCGCTTGGTCCGGCGTTCGGTATGTTGGGTCTGCCGACGTTCCAGCAAACCTGTACCGTTGCCCCAGCGCGCGTGGATACTATTTACTCTCTCTGCGTGTACAAGCTGAGAACAACAGCAAGTGTTACAAAGTGAGTTCTGATGACACGTAAACACGTTCTACCTTTGGTACGCTGATTGTCATGACACGAAAATACGAAAATACGTTATGGTATGCATACGTTGAAAATCTTCGCCGTTTGATTTAGACTATTACAACAGACCAGGCTGCACATGAAACCCGTGCGAGGGTCCAATTCGACCGGTAATGGGGGATGAATGGAATCGCCAAAGTTTCGATTACCACACAACACAAAGAGAGGAGTCCATAGACTACATGCAAGATACGATAGTACAGTATTACGTAGAGTAGAACCCAGACTGCTGTACCTGCCAGTACCAAACAAAGCAGGCAGTGGTACTACTACGGTGTGTCCAGCATGTTGTACTCTACAACAGACAGACTCGTCGTTGTCGTAGGGTGTATCAACTTGGCGTGTGTAATATAAGCGAAGCAATAGGGG